CCATTCTCAACACAGCAGCCATAATGATCTTTTAAAAAGCACAAATCATATCTACTAAACATTTTTCAGTGGATTGTTTTGCATTTAAGTTAAAAGCTCCAAATGCATGGACTAGCTCTTGCTTATTTCTCCAACCTCATCCCTTGACATTTCTTCTTACCTCACGACTGGTTCTGCTCCAGTTACGAGACCCTAGCTCTTTGTTGACTCAAGGCAGTTCCTTCTGTGGGAAAAAGTCTCTCCAAAACAATTGTCCTGGCCACCTCCTACTTATGCTTCAGGTCTCATTTTAAAGTTACTCCTTCATAGAGGCTTTCCTTATTCTCTAATATAAATTATATTCTTTCAATTTCTCCTGCATATCACTTTTTCTCCCCTCTGTTGAAGACTTCTAATTGTTTCTCAACATTCATTCTCCTTTTCTATTATAATAATAGGACTTAGCTGGGCATATAGCAGCTCAGCAAAAGACACTGTTTCCCTCCTTTGCTCCCAGATGTAGCCATGTGACTATGTTCCAGCCAACAGGAAGTGAATGGATGTAATGTGTACACATGCTAGGGCCTCCCTTAAGTGACTGGGTTTATAGTTTCCATGCCTCATGGGTTGGGAATGGTGAGACCTGAAGCAGTCAACCTTGACCAGAGATGGAATCCATGTGCTTGTTTTGTAGATGGTGGGGCTATGGTATCAACTTACTTGTGGGCTATTATATGAGAAAAAAATTCTAATCCCTTTTAGCTTCTAGACCTTTGAATATCTTTGTTATAGCACAGGAGGTCTTGGATGGTTTTTAAGTAGAGGAGCAGGACTTATGGTAGCACATACAGGAGGCACAATAAAATGTGAAGAGTGCCCCATGGTTACATAACCCTGAGGGACTGACTACAAAGAAATTGCATGGTCAGATGTTTTTAAAGATTATTTTGGTGGCAAACTGGTTTCGAGGACATGCTGAGGCAGACAGGCAAGATAAATGGTTGTCATAAAGTGAAGAGATAACCTCATGGATTAGGATAGCACGGGCATGTAGAGAAGAGGATGGATTCCAAAAATATTTCAAAAGGTGGACTCAGGAGAGTTTGGCATTTTGACTGTTATGGTAAACAGTTGTAGCCCCCTAGTCCCAATCCCAGGCACCTGTAAATATGCTACCTTCCATGCAAAAGGGACTTTGCAGATGTGATTAAGGATATTATCTTCAATTTTCAAGATGAGCCTAATGAAATCAACAGGGTCCTAATAAGAGGGAGGCAGGAGAGTCAGAGTCTGAAAAGGAAACTGAAGACTGAAGCAAAGATTAGTTAGAGTGGTGTGCTTTGAAGATGAAGGAAGGGTCCATGTGAGCCAAGGAATGCAAACAGCCACTAGAAGTGGGAAAAAAATCAAAGAACTGGATTGTTCTCTGCAGTCTAAAGAAGGAATTCAGCCCTGCATCACTATAACTTTATCCCACTAAACCCCATTTTGGACTTGACTTCCAGATTATAAACAATCCACTGAATTTATAGCAACCTGTTTCAGCAGCAATAAGAAATGAGTGCACTGGTGTAGGGGAAAGGGTGAAGGAAGCATCTAGTGTAAAGGCCTTGAACAACTGGGTGGATGACAGTTTGGAAACCCAGAGTTTGAAAACCCAGAAGTAAGAGTGAGTGGGGGAGGAACAGAAGGTAATGAAGCAGTGCTGTGAAATTTAGTGACTCTGGGATGCCTGTGATACATCCCACTGCACAATAGCCATATGGGTCTGGCATTCAGGAATGAAGTTGCCCCAGGGAGAGGGATATTGTGGTATCTTCAAATATTCTGTGATTGAAGCCAAGGGTGTGAAAAAGAGCAGTGACAGAAAAAACAGAGTCAGAAGAAAGGAAGGCCTAGAACAAAATCCAAGAAAAACTAAAATCCAAATGTAGTATACAAAGGAGTGTAGCCGGAGAGGAAGAGGAAAACCCAAGTTGTTGGGGTCATGGAAACCAGAGGAGGGAGAGTTTCCATGAAGAAGGGATTTTGACAGTGTCCAGTGTTGCTGTTAGGTAGAGAAAAAGTGGTTGATACATTTTCATAAGAACAAAGCCCCTGACCCTCCATATATGAACATAATGTTTGTAAGTATTCAAATGAGCAAAGAGGAATGAGTGACTGAGAGCCAGGGCATGAAACCAGCCTATATTCAAAATACAGATTCTATCATTTACTAATGGTGTGATCTTGGTCAAATTGCTTTACTTTTATATGTACCAGTTTCTTCACTTATAAAATGGGATAATAACAATCCTACCTGTATATGATAGCTGTGAAGATTATGTGACTAAATATGTTAAAAGTTCATTGAGCACTGCCTGGCACATATAAGTCCTGTGTAAGTGTTAGGTATTTTTGCTATTATCATTACCAAGTGCAATGTGTTTATTATATTATTATAAGAATAAGTGATCCTGCCAAAGGAAATAAGAGAAGTAAGCATTATGAGGAAGATAATTGATAAGATAAATAAGTAGAAGAAAGTAGTTAGTGAGATAAAATAGTATATATAATGATCCGAATATAAAGAAAGGACCAAGTGGGCACCAAAAATTCTTGATATGCTAAATATTCATGAGGCATTCAATATTCAGTAAGGCTTAAAATAATCACACACTGGTGACACCTGTGCAGGCTGCATTTGCTTTCTGCCTGAGAAATGCAGATAGAATCCACAGCTACTCATCAGATTAATTGGTGAGCTATAACTATGGCCAGGCACACTTGCTCCATGTCTCCTGACAGAGCAAGTAGTATGTTCTGGGTTTGGCACCAGGCACCTTCTGTCTACCAACCCTCCTTTGCCAACCTCATCTCTGCTCCTTGTAACTACAGTATCAACAGGGAAGAATGGTGCAGCTGAGAATGAGGGAGGGGAAGACACAAATCTATGCATGTTTCATAAAATACAACACCCATTTGTATCCTATCCTGAGTGTGTTAACCTAGCCTCTCTCCCCTAGCTTCTTGCCATATGTTTCAAATGCTTCAATAAGCATTGTGATTTCAACATCTTAATTTTGCCCTCCAGTCTTTCTGTGCAATGACCTCTGGGATAGCTTGATTGACTATGTACTTGGAAGGTAATTTCCCACACCACAACCACCATGGCTACCTCATAGAAGGTAGGAATGTGAGCACAGATCACTTTTTATGCATATTTGTGTCTTCTTATACCGATTTTTTTGTATTATAAAAATTAAGAGAAACTTAAATATGGTAATATTTAGTATGCACATGCATTTGAATAATGACCTACTAACCAAAACCCCTAATATATTAAGGGATTGTGGCTGCCAGGAAAAAATTCCTGCCCTAAGAAGGCCAACTAAAACAGTTTCTCTTATATTGATTCTTGAGGCGTCTCTGATATTGACTCTTGAGACTCTCTGTCCTATTTGAAACAGAAACACCAGCTTTGATCTCTAGGATGACTTCACTTCACTTTTCAACATGGAGCAACCTTTGAAGGTTAGGAACTAGCCCACCTTTCCCCAAATTCTTTCTGTTCTTTCCTCTCCTCTCAGATGCAGAAAAAGACCTGAAGCAAGTTAGGCCGGCAGCCTGTTTGCTTGCTTTCATTTCTATTTTGAAAAGCTGCTTCTTTAATAGCTGGACAGATCAGAAGAATGATGATTCTATGATATCAGCTACCACCTTTATTGTTTTCCAGTGAAACTTTAGCACTTACTGTCTTTTGCTTTTATGTTTCAACACAGCAAGTAGGTTTATCATGAAGCTAATGTCTTGTTAGACTTCAGGGATCTTTCATGGGCCCAGAGAGGGAACCCAGCATCTTTGTAAGTGTTTTAATTCTTCCTAGAGAAGGACTCCAAATTCTGAAGCTTCAGGGCCTATATAAGATTCTCATTAAGAGTTCATGGTCAGGAGCTTAAAGCGTGATTTAAAAAGAAGCCAACTTTCTTTTCTACTAGTTAGTAATTTTGGATAGATGATGTTAACTTTCAGCCTTGGTTTTCTTAGTTGTAAAATGGGAACAACATTACCTATATCCGTAGGATTATGATAAGGCTTGAATAGTACTTGAACGTTAAACAATAAACATTCATCAGTGTCAGCTACCATTAGTACTGTTGTCAGAACAAACCATAAACTCTCTGACAACAGGATCTGGTAGCCCTTAGAACCCATCACAGGCACACACATAAATACTTGAATACTTTACATATTCAACTCCACTCTAATCAAAAGACAACTTATTTGTAGTGCGACACCTGCGGCTACCTCTTCAGCAAACGCCCCACACTCCGCAGCGCCTTGCTAACAAGGGGTGCCCGGTGAGTGCTTCAAACTCACCATGTTGTTTGCCTCCCTTCCCCTGCCCTCTTCTCTCCGGTCGGCTGCGGACAGTCCACTGAGCCTGTCACTAGACGCACGCTGATAACGCGTTAGTAGCGTTTTGTGCCAGGTACCCAATAAGTGCTCATTAAATGGCAATTACAATTTCCAGACCAGGAGGCTACTAAGCCCCCGCCCCTCGCCAAGGCCTGCATTCTCTGGCTGGGGCGAAGTGGGGAATGAGGGGGTCCTCAGCCCGTCTGTGCGCCCGTGTTGTGGCGGCGGTAGTGGGATGGAGAGGGATGGTCGCCCATCGCATTCCCCTTCTCAGTGCACTTTCCCAGCCCGGGTGTGCCCAGGGGTCCCCTGGGGCCGCCAGGGCGGAGGGCAGGCCGGGAGGAGGCGGACGACGCATCCGCCGCCGCCGCAGGAGGCGGAGCGCTGCACCTGGCGGCCGGTCCTCGGCACTCAGCCCTGAAACGGGTCCAGCCGGTGGTGAGCGGCGGCAGCGACAGGGAGGCCCGGGCTCCAGAGGAGGAGCAGGAGCAGGCGCGGGAGAGAAGGTCGCGCGGCGGGTGCGCTCGTCCTCCGCTGTCGGGCGCCACACCCGATCCGCATCCGTCCGCGCCGCGCCCCGCCCCGCTCGCCGCAGCCCCCGGGGAGAGAGCGAGCCGCCGGCCCGCGATGGTGCGTACCGGACCGACAGCCGCCACCCTGGCGCCCCGCGCCGCCGTCCCGCGCGCCGGGGACAGGACCCCCTGCGCCCCGCGCAGCTGAGCGCCGTCGCCGCAGCAGGTGAGTCGGTGCGGGGCGCGCTCGGAGGGCGGGGGCGGCCCGCAGCTCCGCCCGGGCCTCCCCGCGGGGGACGCGCGGCACCAGCCCTCCGCCAGGCACACCTGCCGTCAGGGAAGGGCCCCGGGAGGGCGTGGAGGTGTCTGCGTCCGCTGCCCCGCTCGCCGGCCGCCGCTCCCTCCCTCCCCTGGGCTCCTGTGTCTGTTGTCATCTTTGTGGGGTGCTGGGGGAGGCTGCCGCCTGTGCCCCGACGCGCTGGGCGCGGGCAGCACTTCCGCAAACGTAATTGGAGTCGGGAAAACAAAGGCGCTGCCCAGGGAGTCCTTGCCGGACGCTAGCAGCTGCTGCCCAAGGTGGGGGACGAGGGGTGGGCCCCAAAGTCCCGGCCCTTCTGGGCCCAACCCCGTTCGCGCCCTTGCCATAAACATCCCCGGGAGAAAGGAGGAGATGAGAACCTCCACACAGTCCAGGTGACAAGGACGTGGCCAGGAGGAGGAAATTGACATTGTCTGCCTTCCCAGGTAAATAAATACTGGGAAAATATGCCTCTTCCTCTGGCCTGTCACCATCCTAGGAGTAATTCTGCACCTCATGCTTTTGTACTTCCATTTGATGATATGTCTGAATCCCTTTTGAGGCAGTGATGGGGGTCTCTAATCCTTCACGTACTGTTTATTCCCTATCTAGTAACTATCCTGTAAATTTAAGTAGGGTGGTGAAAAGTGCCAGACACAACCTTCCCCTCCTGAATCCCATCCCCATGTGGACACACAGGTGGATTAATTACCTAAGTCTGGCACATGGTGCATTTTGTCTCTCCCACACACATTTGAAACCACAAACATTTCCTTTCATCTAAAAATATTTAATAAACATCTCATAGAACCACTGGAACATATAATAAATACCTGACCTCTTAGTTGCTGGAAAGAACCTTAAAAGAGTCAGAGTTCCAATCCCAACTGGTGTCTAAATAGTTTTGTGCCCTTGGTCTGTCACATCGTCCTGGGCTCTAGTTTTCTCACAAGTTAAAAAAAAAAAAAGAAGAAAGAAAGAAAAGATAGTATAGTAGTTAAGACCATTTTCCCTTGGCCTTTCTAGAAGTCCATGATTTGTGTAACTCTAACCTCATCAGTGGAGATGAATATAAACAGTGGATAGACATACAGTTTAGGTATGACTAGCAACATGTAATAGAAGGACAAGAATATTTGGTAGGACTGTGATATGGATAGAACATCCCTTCCCCAAGATGGGCACTGGCCAGCTAAAGGTTTATGCATTATTGATGGCCTTGTTAAGTGAAAGGAGAGGATAGAATCCTCCTTATTGGGAAGCTTGGCTTTTGACACTGAATGCTGCCGGTCACAAGCAGACATCGGGGATTTCTCAGTTATTTAATGGTAGTAGGATAGATGGTGTTTTTCCTAAGTTGTAAGTAAAAATTAGCATTGCTTAGGAAAAGGTGAGAACATTGCTTATGAGCCTGGTGCAAGACACTTAAGAAGTAAGAGAAGATCATATTTCAATAATGCATTAAAGCTACAAAGCATATTTATAGTAATTTTTAAGACATTTTCTGTCTATACAAATAAATACAAAAATATAAGGCAAACAAACCCAAAGACAGAACAGCAAGATTTGCACATTTGATGGTGTAGATATTGGATCACCAATGCTATCATATAATTTCTGGATCATAAACAGTAATAAGTCACTTTTGGGGCACTAAGAATGTTGAAGATAACATCTTAAAGAGTTAATTCTAAGTCTCTGTAAGATGACTTTCCCCTAATTTTGTGCATGATGAAAGGGAAGCTCAGAAAGGTTAAGCAACTTTCCCTAACCACATAATCAGTAAAAGGTAGAATTAGATTTGACCCTGTCTCTGGCTCCAAAGCACAGGAAATTTCCACATGGTATCCCTTCTTGCTCAGGACCCATTAAGCTAAACCACCTATGCAGATGCTTTCCTTTGCTTCTTCCCTTTGAAAATTAATTTCATTTCTGCATACATCTATTCCAGATGGTAACATTTACCCATGGAGGATAAGATACAAATTTATAATGGATATATATTAATTAGTGCATGTATACTTACCCATTTGTTCTTAGCATTCTTCAGTTGCAGCCAATGGATAAATTTAGTATTAGGCAAATAGGCCTAATACTAAATTTTGATAGCCAGTAAATCTTGATTTAGCATTCTAATTGTGGTAAAAGTAGAAACACAATCTATGTATGTCTCCTAGCTGCTTTGGTACATTGACTTTGAAGAAATCAAGATTTATTAAGTGAAAAAAGCAAGTTGCCAAAGAGATTTATATATATTTACTTAAACTGTTATACAGGCACACATGTACTTCTTTGTCCCCAAACTGATCTAAGGAAGGGGCACAGGGTAGAGACAAGAGGGTGTTTTTTTCTTTTTTACCTTATTAAGTTAGTTATAGGCTTAAAAAAATGGAAGAAGCCTGTGTTCTTTTGTCATATAAACTAAAAAGAGAAACAAAAGAATGGAATTAATTCACTTTACAAAAATCCAAAATAATAGAAATCTCATTTCAGTAAGTGAGGTGAGGCTCAGAGATCAAAGAGAAGGGGTGTTCTGGGAATTGCAGGTGTGGTGCAAAGAGTAGCATGTTGGTGACTGATTTTTACCCTTCCTAACAGTAGTAGCATAGTCTGCAGCTCCTTAATTTTCCTCCCCGGCAAGAATGCATTGGTGCGCACCCAGTTTATCTGACAGACTAAGAACTCCTTTTTCCTGGTCTTGGTAGTGTAGGAGCAATCAGTTTACTTGCTGTGTCATCTCATGAAACTATGGCATTCTGGGTAACTTCAGGTGTAATTATTCTGAGGAACATAATTTCAGGAGCAGTAAGTTATCAAGTTAATCTAGCCTGTTGCATATTTATTAAATACGGTCTCACAGCTGGGCATCAGTAGCCCACATCTATCCGCTAAATCCTTTAGCTGCTTGGGAGGCTGAGATTGGGAGGATCACAGTTTAGGGCTAGCATGTGCATAAAGTTCTTGTGATCCCATCTCAATCAATAGCTGATGGTGATGGCACACACCAGTTACCTCAAGCTGTGAGAAGACTGAGGTAGGGAAGATTGCAGTGCCAGATCAGTCTGGGGTGAGGGGATAGGAAAGTTCGCTAGACCCCATTTTGATGGAAGAAAGCTGGGTGTGCTGGTGTGCATCTATAATCCCAGCAATGGTGGGAAACATAAAATAGGGAGATCAAGGTCAGCTTGGGCAAAAAGCAAAACCCTATCTCAAAAATAACCAGAGGAAAAAAGGGCTGGAGATATGGCTCAAGCAGTAAAGCACCTGCCTGGCAACTGCAAAGCCCTGAGTTCAAACCCCAGTACCACCAAAAAAAGAGTACAATTCCCAAATTCTCCCCATTTCTATGTAAAATTAGTGAAAATCAATGCTTATAATACTTAAAAATTAACACATTTCCCTGTTCAGACTTGGAATTCCAGAACTATATATCCAGGCTTTTCAGAATCAAGAAAACACATTCTTCTTGTGTTTTATACATGAAGGAAATCTGAATAAGCTTGGTTTATTATAAATGTGGTATTAATCCTGAGAAAGAAATAATTGTGAAATTGTTTTGCAGAGGAGATATTCTGATCATTTTAAGTGTGACCCAAAATTTCACTTAATGTTTTAGACAAAAGGAAATCTCAACCCTTTAATTTAGGAAACTTTATTAAATCAAGTGCAAAATCCTGCCTTAGTACCAAGCCAGTTTGGATCAAACTCTTCCTCAAAACGAAACTACCATAGCAATCACTGGACACACAATTTTGGATTCCTGGGAAAAGCAAACATATACACCTGATGTGAATTCTCTGTGGGGCAAAAAAAACACCTTAGTGTCTCCACAAAGAGTGTTCCATTTGGATTTGTAATTCTCCCATGGTTAGTTACCCAACATTAGCTGTCTGTGGCCATCCGTTATGCTGGCATTTGGGATGATAGGGGCTTCTGTCAGCTTGATCTGGTTCCCTAAATCCTGAATGGCATGCTTTCCAGTACACAGCCCCATTATTGGATTCAGTACCCTTTGCTTTGTAGCTATTTTAGTTTTCTGTATTTGGAAAATGATTATTTACTGTTTTGTAAAACAGCATTGTCTCAAATTCATTGGTTGGGCAGCTTTTGGAAACCACCAAAGTCCTCTGCTGAAACAAGTGATGTTTGCTTTGTTGGTGCAGAGGCCAAAACAAAACCATAACATGTTTTACAAAGATGTGGAACAGCTAAACCTTGAGTTTAGGTGACACATATTAGTGTGTGTCTGCTATAGATGACACAACTCTTGTCTCCATTTTGTGGCTCTAAAATGTACACTTATATACGCACACACACATACCTACCAGTTTGTTGTGTGTATTCAAAGTAGTGCCCATAGTATAGTGTAAGTGTTGCTGAGCCATGGATGTGCTGGTGACTGTATTGAAGGCATGTTAATATTGGGAGAGGTAAATAAGAGCTTTATGGGCTGGTGTGATCCTGCTGTATTTTAGGATGTGGAGGTAGAATGAGAGATAATGGGGGAAAGATAAAGAAATTCAGGCTACCAGAAAAGCCATGCTCAAGAGGCATTCATTCTGGGTATGTTTGAGAATGAGACTAATTCAGGAAGCACTCTAAACAGAAAACAGAAAAGTCCAACTGTGAATGACTCTGAAAAATGTTTAGGTAGAGTGTTCTGATCTGAGACTAAGAATGAGACTAGGAAAAGAGAGGAGAACGGAACACCATGAATCAGCTGTGGCTACAGGGCGCTATGGTGTGGCTTTCTGGAGTGCAGAAAAGAAAACTACAAGGAGGAACTGGTCCTGCCTGAACAGGTCTGATTTGTGGGTTAACTTTGCCAAGGGAAAGTGAGTAACTCTTCTGGACTGGTAGTTAGCTGCCCGTGTGGAGTTACCCAGAGAAACGCTCACTCCACAGTCAGGTACCCTCTTCTTCCCCAT